GGGGGGGGGGGGGGGGGGGGGGGCAGGGAGCCTCTGAGCTCCAGGGCGTGAGGAGGCAGGTGGAGGGCTGACCGGGGCAAGCGGGCGCACCTGTCTCTTCCGCTGCAGCTCCAGGCCTGCCGGGATCTATCTGGGCCACAGGGCCAGGCAATGCGCCCTGGGCGCGAGGGAGGGCGCGGCCTCTCGGGAAAGGCCACTGGGACCTCCCAGGCGCATCACCTCCCCGGGAAGGGACAGTCACAGTTCCCTGAGTGAATCACTTCCATCCCCTTCCCGGAATGTAGAAGGCCACGTGGATCTGCTGATGCTGTGGGGGAACTGCAGGGAAATAGTCTACTGAGGGCGTTGTGGGACCAGGTCAGAGATGGGCCCTCCTTACTACCCAGTTGAGTCAAGTGTCCTCATCTAGCCTAAGTGGAAGTAGATATGGGGCACGGTCCCTTTTTCTTTTGCCCTCTTACCACCTCAACCCTGAGGCAGGCCTTGTCTGTACAAGCCTTCTTCACAGCCCCTCCCTAACTGTTCCACAGTGATCTCCAGGTGGAGTTGAAGAAGTCTTGGAAAAGCCGCTGTCCTCAGGGCTGGAGGTCACTGTGGGGTCAGATTGATTCTCTAGGCAGCATACTGGCTCCAGACTGATACTAAGCTCTGAGTTCTCTTGTGAAATATGCATGCACACCAAACATGAGCATTTGCTAACCCATGCAAAGAAATTCATGGTTAACCTAGAGTCATGGTCTAGTCTGGTACATCTGTACACCTGAACATTCAAATGGTCAGGAAAGCTTCGAGTACCTTTCCTATGAGAAGGGACTGGATCCTCAGTGACCTTCAGGAAATCCCTAGGAGAGGCAAGCTGTGGCTTGTTTGCACCCCAAGTGCCTGGCCTGGCTTCTGCTGAGTTGAAGTAACAGAGCCTGGGCTCCAACCTGCAGCCCACACCACATCCATGGTCCTCACTTTGCCCAAGAAGCCAACATGTTGGGAGGTTTTGGTGAGTGAGTTTAGCCAGCAGCCAGCACTCCAAGGCTCTTCTCCTGCAGCCCAGCACAGCCTGGTTGTGTGGACGTGCAGTCCTGCGGGTGTCCTACCTGTCCCCCACATGGGAGCCTCGTCATCTTGCCTTCTGTCCCAGCCCAGTTTCCCCCGCCCCCCAGGGCCCGGGAGCTGCTTTCCTGTTTCATTTTGGGCAGGAAGAGTGAGGTCGTGTTGTTCTTCCCCCTGCTGCCGGCTCAGGCTGTGGGAACAGTTCCCTGAGTGCTTTCCTGTTTGATACCCTGTGTGTTCAGTGAAGGGAACGGGGAGCGATGAGCAAGGCATGAAGCTTGTGCATGCTCCTGAAACTGGCACAAACACCAAGGTCTAGGGTCAGGGGAGGAGAAAAGGGGAGGCAAGTTCACTGTGTATACTTGGACTCCACAAGGAGTGAGGTATTTGGTGGGTCTATTTTGCTTTACTGTGGACAGGCTGGGAGCATCTGCTCAGCTTTTTATCAATGGCTCATTTTGTCATCATTTGCTCTCCATAGAGTATGTTTGTGGCTGTAAAGAGAGGACTCTGGCACCCTAGGGACTATCCTGTGCCTTAGAGGAAATTGGGCATGGAGTAGACTGGAAACTCCCTTATTAGTGCCTCAGTCAGAGAAACCCAGGCTCCAACTCCTCCCCTCTTTACAGTCTCCAGTAAACTCCAGCAGCTCTGGGCTAAC